TCCTGGCCTTGACCAGGCTTTTGCCTTTCCGGCCCCCAGTGAGCACCTTGCTGACCGTCCTGCCTCCTCCCGAGCTGAAATGTCAACAGTGCAACGTGTCAGGGAAGCACCTGACGGTCCTGAAAGGTGTGTGGCAGGGGGTGGCGGGAGGAGTCCTGGCCTTGACCAGGCTTTTGCCTTTCCGGCCCCCAGTGAGCACCTTGCTGACCGTCCTGCCTCCTCCCGAGCTGAAATGTCAACAGTGCAACGTGTCAGGGAAGCACCTGACGGTCCTGAAAGGTGTGTGGCAGGTGGGCGGGTGGTGACGTGAGGCGCAATGGGGAAGGTGCCCCAGAGGGTCAGGTGGGAGGGAGGGAGGGAGGGAGGGGCAGGGCCAGGCTGCATCCCCCGGCCTGCTTGGACTCTGGGGTCCCCCCCCTCCTGCCCCTGCCAAACCAGGCACCACCTCAGAGTCCAGGAGGGGTCCCGAGCCACAGAGGATGGGAAGGGGGGGGGGTTGATGGGGGAGACTGGCTGTGGGCCACCTGCAGAAGGACACGGCGCAGGGAGGGGCGTGTTGCAGTTTGTCCTGAAAGTGTCCACAGGTGGCCTCACACACACACACCCCACTCCATCTTTGTCCCTGCAGTTCTGAACGCGGCTTCCCAGGAGGAGCTCTCTGTGTGGGACGTGCGGATCCTGCCCAATTTTAATGCCAGTTACCTTCCCATGATGCCTGACGGGTCTGTCCTGTTAGTCGATGACGTCTGGTAAGAGGAAATGTGATAGGTGGGTGAAGGGGAGTGAGGTGGGGGGGGTGTCTTCAGAGGCCCCCGGGCCTGCTCCTTTGGCTCGTTGCCACTGAAAACCTGCCTCCACCAACTCCCCCCCCCCCCAAAGATGCTGAGTCAAAAAGAGAGTGTCTCTGGGGCAGGGAAGGGTGAATGACTAAAGAGGATAAAACTCACAACGCCCTCTTCTCTGTACCCACACCAAGTTGTCCCTGTCCTCACCAATCACGGGAAACAGGGTCAGGGAGGGTCCCTGCAAACCGGCCGGCGGCGTTCCAGAGGATAGACAGCAGCACTGATGACAGCGTGAGCCGCCTGAGAGGCATCTTGGAAGCGATGCTCTGACTGGGAAGACCAGCCTGGATTGGTCAGGGGTGGGTCCTGCCAGGCCAGAATACTCGCAGAGTGGGTTGTCGGCCTGGCTCCAGCCAAGGCGTTGGACAAGGTACCCTCGTAGCATTTTGGTCAGCAGCCCGGTCAGAGGCCACCATCCCTCTTCCAAGACGGCCTCTCCCTGGCGCGGTCACCCACCTGGAGGGCCCCGCGGGGCTTCTCCTGGGCCAGCTGCTCTTCGGCCTCCCTAGCAGTGAGTGACGCAGGCAAAGGGGTGGAGGGAATCCTTGTCAGATTTGCAGATGACGCTCAAGGAGGACAGCAAAGCCTTTAGAAGACGGAAATGAAGTTCAAGTTGACTCTGATAGGCCGGAGAAGCTGGGCTGAAACTAACAGAATAAAATGCAGCCAGAGACAAACTTCTGCACGTGGGCTAAAGAAATCTAACCCACACACAGGGGTAGGATGGGGGGACGCCAGGCCCGGCGGTGGCCCCCCTGCCGTTTGCACATTGATATAATTTATCCTCCACTCTTCTCCCCTGTGTCTTACAACATTCCCCTCCCTACTATTTTTATCTGCACAGCAACCCTGTGAGGTAGGTCAGGCTGAGAGTGCGTGACTGGCCCAAGGTCACCTGGAAAGCTTCCACGGCAGAGCGGGGATTTGAACCTGGGTCTCCCCAGATCCTAGCTCAAGATTCTGTTCACTGCATCAAAATAATGTAGTTATAAGGAAAGATTGAAGATTGGAAAATATGCAAATTTGCTTTTTATTAACATTAAATGAGATTGCCGAAACAATAACGAAAGCAGATATTGATAATGATATTTATTTGTCCAATGGTATTTGTTTGCTAATGATATTGAGCTTCCCCAGCCGCCTGCCGGGAGCGGCACCGTATGCGTGGAAGAGCCGCGTGCAGCTCCCGAGCCACAGTTTGGCCACCCCTGACCAAGAGTGAGGGAGAGCCCCGGCACGCGTGTGCCTCTTGGGGGCCTGCTGGGAGGAACTCCTGAGCCCCTGCTGGAACCAGGATGCTGGCTGCAGGCCCCTTTGGTGGTGGTGGTGGTGGTGGTGGTGGTGGTGGAGGAAGAGGAGGAGGAAGAGGAGGAGGAGGAGGAAGAGGAAGAAGAAGAAGAGGAGAGCAGTGGCTCATGGAAACTTCTCCCCCGCCACAAATGTTGTCAGTCTCTAAGGTGCTGCTGGACTCTTACTCTTTTCTTCTGTGTGTTCACATGGGCAGAGGTGGGGTTTTAAAATGTGACCTACTTTATCTGTGTCAAGAAGGCGGGTATCAGTCCACACAATTAGTATCCCCCATTAATAGCCTTCAATGAACTCCCACATCATGGCTCATACACCTCTCTGGATCCACGGCGCTTCCAGCATTCCACCGCCTTCCCCAAATCCACCACCTGCTTCCTGTCCCACCCCACCAAGCTAATGTGAGGAGGAGGAGGAGGAGGAGGAGGAGCGTGGGATGGGGCCAGGTCAGCGGAGGGATCAAAGGCGGTTTGGGGGTTCCTCTTTGTCGCCAACTCCACGAGAGCCGGCCTGAATCCAGCGGGGTCTGGTCAGCCAAACAACCTGAGGCAAAGCCCACGGGTTGCCAGGAAAAGGACTGCCAGTGGAATGTGGACCAGAGCAGAAGGCTAGCCCTCCTGTGACCAGTTTTTGACTCCTAAGAGGACCTGCCCTCTTGCCCTGTGACTGACGCAGCTGTAAGGAAGGCAAATGCATTCACAGAAGGCACGAAAAGTGACAGTTCTGTTCTAGTCAGATCTGGGCACTGCAGGTTAACTGCGCACACTGGAATGGATTCGGAGGAGGGCGACGAGGCTGGTCAGGATGTCTGGAAAGCCTACCAGGAAAAGTTTGCGGAGCAACGTGGGCTTAGTTTGGTGACGAGAACAACAGAGAAGACCCAGTGGAGACTGATGGCCCTCCCCTGCAGTTCCGTGCAGGGCTGTCTAGTGGAAGAGGGCCAAGGTCCGTCCGCTGCAGCAGAGACGGGGCAGGAGGGGGCTGGGCAGAGGCGTGCTACCGCCCGCTCTGTACCACGCGCACGGCCAGTGGGACCAGACTGGCCTTTGTGGCACTGCCCGTGATAACGGCCTCCCTGCATTGGTTGTGTGGGCCAGGTACGGGGCCGGCGTGTGTGTCGGGGAGGCTGACCCATTTCTTCCCCCTCCCCGCAGCCACCAGTCGGGCGAAGTTTCCATGGCCTCCTTTTGCCGTGTGGCCTCAGCTGCCTCGGCCTGCCCCTGCTCCCTCCGAGCCCTTGAGGAGCAGAACTTCCTCTTCCAGTTGCAGGCCCCGGAGCAGCCCCCCCACAGCACCAAGGAGGTAAGTGTGTGGGGCGGGGAGGAGGGAGCCTTGGTGGGTCAGGATCCAGTTATTTATGCACATCAGTTAGAGTCCCCCTTTCTCACTGGGACTCAAAGCGGATTATGCAGAGTAAGACAACACGATGAACGGTGGGGCCATCCGAGGAATGACGCGGAAGGATTTGGATCGTAGAAAATCGGAACTAACCAGAAATCTGAAAAGGCTGAAGAAGCATCAGCAGTAACCTGATATGTTACGTGATGCAACAATTATATCGTAGGATCCTACTTACAGCAGCAGACAGTAGAACTCATGCACAGTAGTGTAGTCCGTAATCTTTTCCCCAGGTATCTTTCCGACCCATTTTGCTCCCGTTCAGCCCGATGATCTGCGTCAAAATGCCCTCATTGAATCATTTGAGTTTTGCATTGTTGGCAGAAACCAGTTTGGTGTGCTGGTTAAGTACGCGGACTCTAATCTGGGAGAACCAGGTTTGATTCCCCACTCCTCCACTTGCACCTGCTGGATGACCTTGGGCAAGCCATCGTTCTGTCAGAGCTGTCCTTGAAAAAGAGCAGTTTCTGTCAGAGCTCTCTCAGCCCCACCTACCAAACAGGGTTGTGTGTTGTGGGGAGGGGGAGGGAAAGGAGATGGTAAGCCGCCCTGAGACTCCTTTGGGTAGTGAAGGGCCACGGGGGATTTATCTCTCCTCCTCTTCAGAAAGCCAAGCAGCCTTCCTGACCTAGCCAGGCAGGCCATCCCGTAAAGGTGGGGGCCACAACAGAGAATGTACATTATGTGGGTAGCATTTGTAGGCTTGCACACGCAGAAGGCCCTGCCCGGATGAGTGAACCTGTCACAGGGGGGGGACCCTTGTGTGTGTGACAGCCAAGACTTTGACCTGAACCCAGGAGCTGATGGGCAGCAGCCCATGGAGTGACTGCAGGATGGGAGTGATTCGCATGCGCTGCCTGCCTGGGACACAGGAAAAGTAGCACAAGTGGCAGCCCTCAAGAGGGGTGTGGAGGGTACGTGGGGCAGGGGAGTGGGGCCCGACCCTGTGCGTCTATCAGTCATTCTCCCCTCCCCTCTGCAGGGCCTGGAGGTTCCTCTCATTGCAGTGGTCCAGTGGTCAACCCCCAAACTGCCGTTCACCACCCGGATCCACACCCACTACAGGTGAGAGCTGCTCAAAAGGCCCCCCCCCGTGGGCCCAGATCTGCCACGCCTCTTTCCGGGGACCCTCTGCCCTGCGGTCGTCCTTCCTGATGCCCCAAGGAAGAGGGCGGCCCGGTCCTCGCCCCCCCGGAGCCTCTGAAGAAAGTGTGTCGCAAAGGGATGCTCCACCGATGATCAGTGCTGGGGGGGTGGTGGTCATCGTGGGCCAGGAGCCTTGCCCGGCCTTCCAAAGGCAGTTTTGGGGGGGGGAGAGACATTGCACCCACCTTGCTGCCTCTTGCTGACCAGAAGGTCCCAGCCCCGCTGGATGGTGTTTCTGGTGCTGCAGCAACGGGCCTGGCTGGCCTGGCTGCATGTGGAACACAGGAGGGCCTTCCTCTGCCATCTTTCTCCTCTGCCTTTGGTCCTCCAGGGCCTCAGAGAGGGAGAAGTCTTTCCCATCATCCCTTTCTGAGGAGGAGGAGGAGGAGGAGATGCTACTGGGAATGGGACCCGGCACCTCCTGCATGCCCAGCCGGGTCCCATTGTGCCCACCCCCTCCTCCTCCTCCTCCCTCCACGGGTTTGGACGTCCTCCCTGTCCCCCACAGGCTGCCAAGCATCCGCTTGGCCCGCCCACGTTTTGTGATGACGGCGGAGTGTGAGTCACCAGTGGTCCTGCACCGCCGCTTCACCGTCACCTACACCCTCATCAACAACCTGCAGGACTTCCTAGCCGTGCGCCTGGTGTGGACGCCGGAAAGCACGACGGCGGCTGGTCAGTGGGCCGGGGTGGGCGCCAGATCCGCTGGGTGGGAGGGGTCTTCCCCACCGCACTGTGGCCCGGGCCCTGAGGGCAGAGCCAGCAGAGAGGGTGCCTAAGAACCATGGGGGCTGGCGGGGGGCACCGCTTCCTTCTCTCGCTGGAGGCATTTGGTCGGCCCCATCCAGAAACAGCCTTCCCTGACACCCCCCCCAATAGCGGTCCTGTCCTTTGCCCCCGCAGGCAAGACCCTCTCCTGGGCAGAACGGCGGGCCAGCCACGACACCCAGGACTCCATCGTCTGCCACACGCCCCTCAGCAGCCTGGGCTACTCTCGCAAGGGCAGTGCCCGCACCTTCTGCGTCACCTTCCAGGCCCTGCGGGCTGGCCTCTACGAGGTACAGGGCACACCCCTAGGTTCTGAGCGTCGGGGCTTCTGGGTGTGTGTGTGTGGGGGGGGGCTTCTGGGTACAGGGGCAGGCGGGGTCTGTGCTCAGCTTGTGAGCGGGCAGCCTCCGTTCTGGGAAGACGCGGCTGGCAGATCCGTGCTTCGGGCTGGCCCGGATTCTGGTCCCATAGCACCCTTCGGGATTTAGACAACCCCCGCTCCTGGACAGTGGCCGTCCCAGTCGAAAAGGATGCCCTCCAGGACAGCAGGACCGTGTGTTGCACCGAGAGCTTGGGCGGGCGACAGGCCCCGTGAAAGGTCACCTGACCGCAGCCTGTCCCCTTTCTCTCGCCCTCCCCTCCCCGCCCCCAAGTTGTCCCAGCACATGAAGCTGAAGCTGCAGTTCACCGCCAGCATCTCCAACCCGCCCCCGGAAGCCCGGCCCATCTCCCGGAAGAGCAGCCCCGGCAGCCCGGCCGTCCGGGAGCTGGTGGAGCGGCACCAGGCCAGCCTGGGCCGCTCCCAGAGCTTCTCACACCAGCAGCCAGCACGAGGGCACCTCATGAGGTGGGTACGAGGAGGGAGGGAGGGAGGAGCCAGAGGCGTTTCCTCCGGGGCTCGGTGTGCCAGTGGGCTGGCGGGGATGGCCCGGTTCCTCCCCCCCCCCTGAGAAGTCTCTGTTTCCTCCTCCTCTCCCTAACCAGGTCGGGCAGCGTCATGGAGCGCCGCGCCATCACTCCGCCCGTCGGCTCCCCCGTCGGCCGACCCCTTTACTTGCCCCCTGACAAGGCTGCTCTCTCCCTTGATAAAATAGCCAAACGTGAGTGCAAAGTGCTGGTGGTAGCACCCATCACGTGATATGGGGGGGGGGCCCTTCCCCGCCCTTTCCTGATGCCCCATATCCTCTGGTGGCTCAGTCATTCCACCCCCCAAAATAATTCCTGGGGGGGGGGGGCTGCAGTCTTGCGACGGTCCTGCACTTGCATGGGTTGACGTTT